AAAGTCATATCTCAGAGTAGCTGCAGACAAGAAATACGTCCTGCATGAAGCCTTAGGTAGAGCAAAGGGTCACAGACTGAAAGGATGAAGGTCTTGGATGGCGCGAGCTAAAGATACAATTAGACATGTGTGCAGGCTTGATAGATTTGGGCGAGGAGAGGAGTAGGTCAAACTGTCCGAGCAAGACCTAGATTTGTGTAGGGTTCTGGTCACCCTAAGTCGCGAATGGAGAGACTGGTCAGCTAGCGCTGCAGAATCAAAAGTTCAACAAATCTTCTTCTTCTTCGCGTTCACCAGCTGTACACTTTGGTAGAAAGTTCTGATTGTTCGTCCACTTCTGAACTGCAGTCCTGATCCAGAACCTGAGTGTTGCGTGTGCATCAGTTTTACGGATCTGATTCACTTGAACCAGACTCTGTTGGTTCCTTGCCTCTCGGACAGATGCACTCCGACTTCAAAGGAAGCTCCCCAATTCGTCGACTCTTACGACATGCTTTTGGGTAGGCAGAGGGTCTATTCTTGTTTTCCCCCACGATGGGGCCCCGGAACCCACACGGGAAAGTTCAACAAATGATTCTTGTCAATTCTTGCCCACGTGATGTAATTATCTATACAGATGGCTATGTGTATAAAGCAGGCGAAGTGCATGGGGGTTCATAGCAGTAGCGAATGGTTCAACAAAGCCTGGCATATGGTGTCACTACGTCAGGTTAGAGAATGGAAGTGGAGGCAGTCACTGCTGCCTTCGGCTGGAATTATAATCAGCTGTATATACATGTCGTCATTGTAACTAACTCACAGAGTATGTTGAGAAATGTGGAAACAGGCATGCTTAGTACAGAGTGGCAAGCATCGCTTCAGTGGTCCCCTGTAGTTAGCATTGTTTGGGCATTTTCTCCAGGTGATGCTGGTGTGTTGGGAAACGAGCAGGCAGATGGACTGGCCAGTTCTGTGCCACTTGGTGGTAAATTTATGTATGACAAGCTAGGGCCACGTTAGCGCAGTCGATAAGAGGCTCGCCTTCAAATCCAGCTGCGACTGGCTGCAGCCCACGGTCGGTGTTCGAAACCGGACGGTTCCCGGGGTTCACCCAGCCTCTAGGAAATGGGTACCAGAGTTGACACTCTGGGGTAAATGGAGGAACGTCGCTGTAGCTAGAGTTACGTGCGGACGGCTACACGGGCGGACAATTCTTATCAGCTGTCCGTACTGGTGGCAGAGAACTTATGGTTTATAACCGTGTGCAATGACGCTGGTTTACATCTCCCGACTTTACCTTTTTTTTTTATAGACATTTGAGTGTTATTTGGGGCGAGTGAGTGAAAAGTGCGGATGAACAAATAGATCATTACAGTCTGAGGAGAATGGCGCTGCGTGGAGTTACTAGGGATCTGGTCAACGTTCAGTGTTCAAGGGAACAATGAGATGGATGTATAATCAGACAGTTACTATTACTATTGGAACTGGAACTCTTCATTTGCTGCTAAAGATGGGGGACGGAGCGCTTATAGGAGTGTCCCGAGTGCTGTGACGTTGATTCTTAATTCGGCATTCAAGTCAGAAAGAATTACAGGCGTTGGTAATGTTGTAATAGGTAGTAGAAAGTGATAAAATGGGCTTCAGTTTGAATAATGGGAAGACAGAAGCAATGGTGATTGCCAAGAAAATAGTCCTAAATGGGTTGTAGTAACATTTCCCGCCCCAAACGCACCGTGATTGGCCGTTCATTCATGGTTCGTGACCTTTCACACGCGCCAGTCTAAGTTACAGGGTGTGACGTTGTGTTTGATATTGTAAGCCATGTATATTGCGTGTCGTGTAATGGTTGGTGTGGACGGTCGACGAGATTGCGTATATTATTGCTTTGTGGGACTTCAGGTAGGACATGAATTTGCATTAGCTGTCAGCGGCGAGAATCGACAAGGAGAGCAGCATTGTTTTTCTGCAGCAAGAGGGCTTTTTAGGACCCGCCGCAAAATGTTGACAAATCTGAAACCACGAGACGTAGGCTAAAGCTAGGGGGGGGGGCGGCTGGAGTTGGTACCAGTTCTAGATGTTGTGGAGTCGTTAAAAGCTGTCACATCAGTGATAGCGTCTAAGATAACACAGTGTGACTCCTCTGTAGCTTACACTAGCGCGTGTGAAAGGTCACGAGGCATGAATGGAACGGCCAATCACGTTGTGTTTGGGGCGAATGTAAAATAAAAGTCAAAAGCGTTATTTGAGATAAGTACACAAATGTATCTCGGCACACGGATAACGCCCGAAGAAACATATATCACAGAGATAACGAACAGAATAGGACAGGATAAAACTATCTTTTATAAAATGAAGAATATTTTGTGCAATGAATACATGTTATTGTAGGTTAGATAAAGAATTCTCACATGCAATATAGAGTTAGTTTTAACATATGGCTGTGAAGCCTGGACAATAAATAAACAAGCCGAACAATATCTTGAGGCCTCGGATATGTGGTTTTACAGAAGAATCCTTAGAATTCCTTAAATAGCTAAGAAGAGCAACCCAATTTTAAAAGAGGCGAGTGGTCGAAGACAACTTATCACAAACATCAGAAAAAGGCAGTCATCATATTTCGGTCTCTCTTTTCAAGCGGCTAGCCATCTGCCAAATTATCATGAATAGAACAGTTAAATTGACAGTTTCTTTTTATTCTATAATGTGTCCGAAATGTCTGTCAGTGTCCCTCTGCCAAATGCAGTGTCCGATGAACCAACCTCAAGCTTGTCACTTTGTTGTTAAAGTATTCGGCTGATCTAATGGGATACCGCAGCGACAATACATATATTTAACTTTGAATCTCACAGTAACTGTTGCATAGTCACCATTTCGTCTTGAAGTTGTCTAGGAGGTAATGGGCCGAAACAGTTGTCGACGGAGATTTTCTACTGATGATTGGTATGCTGCTGTGCATGCTTCACTGTGGAGTTCTTATTATTATCTCTCTTATTTGATCACCTACAACAGATTGCAACGAACCACCATGCATGGAGAGTCATGACCTCTGCCCTATGTGCCGCACTCGACACAAGAGGAAAGACTAACTATTTGATCACCGGCTGTAAGCTCCAGCGGAATGTCCTGATTGTTTGTCCACCTTTGGGCTGTACTCTTTTCCTGAACCTGAGTGTTATGTGCACATCCGTTTAAACACACATCTGACTTAACTGTTGGTTCCTCAGGCAGATGCACTCCGTCTTAGAAAGAAGCTCCTGATTAGTCGACCCTTACGGCATGCTTGTTGGAGAGACAGTGGGTCTATTCTTATTTTCTTTATCTGAGCCCGGAACCCACATGGAGAAGTCATCATTTGTTGGTCTTGCTATGAGAAGAGGGAAACTGGAACGTGTTGTGATCACTGGAAAGATATGTGGAAAGAGAGACGGTGGAATTCAGCGCTTGAAGATTCTTGACAGCCTTTTTTCATGGCATGGAGGGGTATCAGCACACGAACTGATACAGGCAGTTTCGGATTGTGGAGAGGCATGATCGCCCACACCAGTCGGTAAAGCACTTGATAAGGTGATTTGTTTTTGCTCTTTAGCAAAGAAAACAAAAAGTTTTTATTTCTGCAGTTAAACAAGCGCCTTGAGCCCTCTACATAAATTTCTTCTCCCAAAGATTTAATGGTGACTAAATGTTGAAGACTAAATGTTGAATTAAGAATCGACATAACGGCACTATGGACACCCCATAAGCGCTCCGTCCCCATCTTCAGCAGCATGCGAAGAGTTAAAATTCTGATTGCACCAGTAACTGTCTGACTGTATATTTGTCTTGCCTTTCCCCTGAGTGTCAAGCGTCGGCCAGATCCCCTTTTAACTCCTCGCTGTGCCATTCTCCTCAGACCGTAATGATCTATCTGTTCCTCTGCACTGCTCACTCGCTCCCAAAGGGCCCTACAACATCCAGCTTGTTATACATCAGTAAACCACCAAGTGGTGCAGAACCGACCAGTCTATCTGCCTGCTCATTTCCCAACACACCAGCATGACCTGGAGATAATATCCAAAGGATGCTAACTACCCGGGACCTCTAAAGTGAAGCTTGCCACTCTGCACGGAGCATGCCTGTCTCCACCTTTCTCAGCATGCTCTGTGTGTTAGTTACAATGACGACATGTGTGTACAGCCGATACTCAAGCCAGAGGAAGGCAGCAGTGACTGCCCCCACCTCCATTCTCAAACTAGACGTTGTGATATCATATACCAGGCTTTGTTGCACCAAACGACGTTCATTCGCCTTTCCTATGAACCCCAATGCACTTTGTCTGCCCATCAACACAGAGCCATCATAGATAGATATGAGTGTCCTGGATACATTAGTTACATAAATCCTAATGGACAGGGAAGATATGGACAGTGTCTGCTGGTGAACAATGGGTGGAAGCATGGGGTTCTTGACCTGGGCATGATAATATCAAAGTCATAAATCAGTCTCTCCAGCACAGGCCCTCTCTGCTTTGCACTACAGTCCCAGTAACCCACTCTAATATGCTATAATCCAAGACGCTTTGTTAATGGTGACTGAAACGAACCTACACTTTAGACCATTGTGTAAAAAAGGCTCGAACACTCACAACGGAGTGGTTATGTCCTATCCTATATGTTTAAAAAAAATTGTAGGAAATTATAAGGGAGAGAAGAAAAAGGCCGATACGACATGGCTGCCAATGCTAGGTTTTTCCCGCCAGATCTGGGTTTTTATTTGATGCCTTGGGGAAATCTTTTTTTTTTTTTTTAAATATATCCTTATATAAAAGTGGTAAATGTTTCGTTTTATAACTATAATTTTTGTACATTTTAAGAATCTGGGTTTTTTTAAATTTTGTTTTATTGTTGTTTGTCTATTGCTTGGGTTTTTGTTTAGCGCAGTTGGTTTTTTGAAAAAATCCTATCGGCAGCCCTGCTATATGAAGATCTAGTTTAACGACGGAATACTATTTGCACAACTGGTAACGAAGATAGCTTAATAACAACATGGCGGCCTGCAGTCGACTTTTCGGCACTCTAGGACGAACTTGTAGCCATCAAGGGGTAATTGTGTGTTTTACGTTCTTTAGGCTATCTTTCTATTGCCTTGAAATATAGTTCCTCGATAGTAACGTATCTGAGATGTTACAAACCGACCCGTCCAAGCTTGGGTTGATTTATGCCTTGTTTATCTGTTTGGCATTGAGGCATTGCCATGTGAAACTTTGAATGTGAAAGGACGTTTATTTCATCATCATCATGGACTACTAAACGATGACGATGTGACTTGAAAAAAAAAACATTACATATTTAGGAAGATATTACATTTCACAAGCGGTAGAAATTACAATAAATTATAGAACGGGTAGCTTATATTATTAAACAGCAATGGCACTGCACCATAACCTTAACTTTTTTTGAACCCCAGACACTTATAATTATAATATATTATAATATTATTATTATAAATTATAGTTAATAAAATTAAGTTTTGTTATTTAAATTAAGGCTCTACTTGGAATAACAGTTCTAAATTAACTATGCAAATAGTTATATTTTTGGCGCTCAGTGTTCTTATCGCCCCACCCCCAACCATGTATTACCTCTCTTCTCTCACCCCTTCTATTTCCTTTGATCTTCCCACTATTCTCATTTCTCTCTCCATTCTTCCTCTCTTCCTTTCCTTACTCTGTTCTCTCTTGCTCTTCCTCCTGTCCCATCTCTTCTTTGTCTCCTCTCCATCCCTTCTTTTCATTTTCTCTAGATTTCCTTCCCCTCTCTCTTCTCTCCTTCCCCCCCCCCTTTTTTTGGTTCATCTACATATGTTTTTTGCCCCATAACCATCTTTTCCTAGTGGTTGTGTCCACTACACTTGAAATTGTGTCGGGGGAGTGGGTGGGGTTTCAGCATGCATGAGGCTATTTTATTTTTTTGATGTATCTTGTCTCCCTTCCTGCCACTCTCTCTTAATCTGTGTTTGTCACTGCCTTCCTTACCCATCTCTCTCTCTCTCTCTCTCTCTCTTGCTTTATGTCTGTTTGCCTCCCTTCACCACTTCCTCTTTGTATACCTCCCTCCCATTCATCTGCCCATCTCTGTATCTGCATTCCCTCTTTCTGTATTTATCTCCCTCTCTGTCTTTCGCTGTCCCTTCCCCACTTTCCCTCATCATGTCTCCATCCCTCCCTCTCGTTTTTTCCTCCTTCCCCAGACTCCTTTTCCTTCTTTCCTCTACCTTCATCTGTCTATCTTTACACTGTCTCTCCCAGTCTATTTCAGCATGTGTAGTTTTATGCTGTCCAGTTTTTTTTATTCACGTGGGCTCATGTGCAATCATGAGGATGCAATTTTCGTTCCTAGGGAGGACGATCATCATTGAGGATGCAGTTTTGTGTGTGAACTCTATGTGCAATTCCCAGCAGGGGTACTTTGGAGGTGGCCCTAAAAAGGGACAATCATTCTAGATGTACTATTGAGTTCATGAATTGACAATCTGCTAAGACTTACATATTTGTGTTAATGATCGGGAGAGGTGTCGCTACTTTCTGTCTAGAATGCAGAACATAAAGCACATCGCCTGTTTTGCGACAGGTGCCACCAAATAGCCACTGTTGTGGAAATTGTTCCATGTGATGTTTCCGCCTGTGTCAGCAGACTTTTTCAATTTCAACAGGGGTGTTCTCCCCACCAATCACTGCAGGATTCAGTAATAATGTATTGGCACCAACCTCCCGTAAGTAATTGCTGCAATCTACCATTTCGGTCGGCGACATTTCCGGCTCTACTTGGTCATGTGTTTAGTCAGCGATAACACCATTGCATGATTGCTGCCACAACATCTGGTACTATGCAAGATGCCATGATGTTGCAGAAAAGCATCACTGATCTTCTTGTCATGTACTGATGCTGCTAATTCAAGGAAATTCATGGTGAAGATTTAACACAAGCCGCTGCAATTTGAAAATACACACTCAGGACGCCACACTGAACGTAACATTGGCCTTGGAAGAAACTGAAAAGAAAATCTAGTCTCAACACCCCTAAAATGTTGGACTGTTCTGTGATTTCCAATGTTTGTGGTCACTAGAAAATAAAGAACCCATGGCTCTCACACTCTATTTCCACTTAGTCAAGGGGAAAATAAACATAAGTCGTTGATTATTAAACTTGCAAGATAGGCTTTCTGCCTCTTTATGGATTGAGTTTACCATATGTATTCATAGAAAACCTATGTTCATATGTAACCTAGAATTTTTTTTTTTTTTAATTTTACAGTTCTCAGTCACAGGAAGGGCGGTTGTCCAGCGGACACTAAAGACAGACTCAAATGTATCTAATAGAAGCAATTGTTTGCCTCAGAGGCATGGTACATTGGACAGAGGGCAACTCGATGTCAGAATTTTCCAGGTATTGTATTGGTTGTCATTTTTATTTCTCAGAAACAGTTATAGGTATGTGTTGTACCGATTATGATGCACTTATTTTAGCCACAGTCACAGACATAAGGTGAAGTTGAGGCCACGGTGCTGTGTAAGGGGATAATCTTTACCTCACCTCAGACACCAACAAGCTCGTTGCTGGTTTTTACAATACCTCTTGTAAGACTCCTGCAACACTTCCACACCATGTGCCATAGACAGATGGCCAGTATCAACTGAGCTGGCAGGGAATCTCTAAGCTGGTGATTCCTAGAGGTGCAGTGTCTGAAATTGGAGAATCCACAGCGCATATTCACCCACTAAAGTGCATGGGTGAAAACGTCACATGAAAGACTTATTTAGGAGAATGAGTTCTGGTCCACCGACCCTAAAGCCTACTATTAAATGACAAAAAAGGTTCACCCTCTGAGTGTAGATCCTACTGAGGGCTAACACAGGTTCAAGTATCCGCTACTAAAGACTACAATCATTGGAGTGCTGTGATCAAGAGAAAGTCCTCTACCTGGCGCAAGCTGTTCATAATGATCATGTCTGTTCTTAACTGCCATCCTGAGTTTCTGAATCACCCATACAAAAAGTACCCTTAACTGCAAGAACAGTCTGGTGTCCAGAGGAAGCGAAAAGCTCATTTTGTGAAGGTCACACAAGTCTGACCTGATTTATGATAATCTCAAAAGGTACATCCCCTAATAAATGTAGGGCACGATTTACGAAAGTGAAGTTGAGCGGTCATATATGATGCGACGATTCCTTGGGTGAGTCTCTTGCCGGAGTGCCATGTATTAGCTTTGCGTTTATGAAAGCCATTTTGGGTAGCAAGGAATATCCTTTTCTGGCCCTACCTTTCCTTTAGGGCTGATACACATGCATGAGGTTGTCACAAATGGGTCCACTGTAAGAAGTGGGAACTGACTGACTGACTTTCTACCCCACCAGGACATCACACAAGCGATAAACACCTGATGACACAAAGTGCCACCATGTGGATGAGGATCGCCGTGGAGAGGTCCCAGAAACCGCGTTCAGACATTTGGCCATATTTATGGCCTGCCTATATTGCGGCCCCTGGCAAAAGCCAGAGTAGGGCTTCAAATGACAAAAAATTTCGTCCTGAAAAGGACGAAACTGGATTATAAGATAAAGAAAAGAAGTGGGAAGGGGAGAACTGCTACTTATAGGCCAGATAGTGTGTGTGTATGTATATATATATTTATAAAACACCACCTTCAATAAATTCACAAGGACAAATAGTTAAGATACTGACAATGGGAAAGCACTGCTAAATATAACAGCAGCACACTATGTAACTATAAAATGTTTGAATATATGCTGATTGTTGGGAAAAGACTGCCATTTTCAAATATATCCATGCAATCCTGTAAAAATAGTTTTCCTATTTTTCCTATTTGATGTTTATTTAAAAGTCCTTTTTATAAAGGGACTGTTGCATTGTACGTTTGGGAAGTAGGCATCACTGACAAGTGGCGGTAAGAGGCAGAAGTTAGTGGATGGTTTTTGTTTGGATGTAGCAGATAATTTGTGACTGCTGTGTCTGTGTTAGTGTCTATTTTCTGTTGATATGGCTCTCTTAAATGATTCACGTTTCACAGACTTGATATTTGATACCTTTGAACAATTCATATAGGAATTGTACCATTTTAATTGTATATTTTCAGCAAAGACATATGTCTAACAAGAACTTCTTCCAAACTGTCCTTGATAACATCAAGCAAGAAATGAAAAAGAGCAAAGAAATGAAAGTAAGTCTTATAACACAGTTTTCAGCATGTAGTTTCAGGAAACAGAATGATAAAATATTGTTTGGCCAGTAGTTCCCTGAGTTGTTAGAATGCTGGGATTATATTTATGAGACCTGGGTTCAAATCCGTAGAAAGGTGATGGACATTTTTTCTGTTAGCGGCAAAAACTAAAATCTCAACCAGTGCAAATCATGGTGACTGCACTAGCAGTGTGGCCCTAAAATCTCCAAGCTGAAGACCCTTCCCCTTTGTCCTACACTGCCCTAAAATAAGATACAAAATAGACAGTTTTGATGGAGTTTTACTAGCTTTTGTTGTTTACCGTGAATCAGTGATTCATCACCATTCAAAATTTCTTAGTCTACAATAAACGTGTCTGCAGAAGTAAGAGAATCAGGGTTTGTAGCTGGTGAACGTGAAGAAGAAAAAGAAATTACTTATGTAATTTAAGGAGTCCCAGTTTTTTAGAAGAACCAGTAGACTCCTTGCCTCTTATCAAGCATATCATAAAAGACAGCTAATTAAGAATTAGCTAAAATCTGTTGTGTTGGGGTGAAAGACCTGTATATTACACCACGATATGCCAAATTTTTTTTATGGGTGCCCTCGAAAGAAAACAAATTTCTGTCATTTAACCAGGATTGTCAAACAAGAGGAGATTGAAAGTGAGTGTTTGTATACAATGTTTTAGTTGGTAATTTTACAGATATTACTTTAAAATTTATAGAGGCATAAAATGTCATATTTTTTATTTTAACATTATCTTACATACTTTCAGGAAAGTATTGCCAAGTTTAAAGAAGAAACACAGAAGTTGGAAGAATCAGAAGCATTGAAACAAGCCAATAAAATGTCATATTTTTTATTTTAACATTATCTTACATTCTTTCAGGAAAGTATTGCCAAGTTTAAAGAAGAAACACAGAAGTTGGAAGAATCAGAAGCATTGAAACAAGCCAGAAAAAAGTTTGTAAGTGTTTGTTATAGATATGCTCAGTGGTTTTATTTTAGCAACAGTATGTCACAGGTGGTAGATAGAAGGCCGTGGCTTGTGGTTTAGTGTTTGTACTGATCTTAGGCAGGAAGTTATTAATTAGTGGTATTGCTGAAAATTTTAAATATTTTGAAGCTAGCTTATATCACCTATTTTAAATGTGCCAACAAGATATCAGACCAGTGGCATCATTGTAAACAGTAATCTTGCTGTCCTGCCATTTGGTGCATAGGTTAGTTGCGTATCCTTTACAGGATGTTGCAGAACCAACCCCAACAGACCCTGGCTGTTGTGTGGTTTTTCGAGGCAAATTTACGCCCAGTAGTTTGTCATTGCTTTCTGGACGGTCGGCTTTCTTGATATCACTGTTGAAACCAATGCTAGGCGCATGGCCCTCAGCTGGGATCGATCCCGGCATAACGAAGTGTTCACATCGACTTAGCCACAGAGCCGACCATTTGGTGCATAGGTATGTGTTGTATCATTTATAGAATTTTTAGTTTAATTAATGGAAATAAATTGGTAAAGTAATTTTGCATAGCATTGTATATGGAAAGGGTGGTGGAGGACCAGACCAAAAGCTATAAAAACTCAGTGACTAATTAATAGTGACCTTTGTTTTAATCGAAGCAGAAGTGAAGTTATAAAATACAAAGAAAAAGAAAATGTTTAAACATCTATATTATTACAACATTAAATACTACTCTATTTCAAATAGTGGTAGTTGAAAAGGTGTAAAACTACAATGGCTATAATCTATTTTCCAGCCAAAGCATAATATTTTCAGGAGCGGTGAACAAGTAAAGAAAATAAATGTAGATGTTAGGTGGTTAGAAAAACTTGACAACTATAATCACCAAACTTGATTGCAAATGGTAAGAGTAATTTTAGATAGAAAAGGCAATATGAAGATAGGGAATGACAAGGGAAAGATAGAGGAAAGCAACAGGAAAACAGTGGATGGCAAGAGGTAGATAGGGGATGATGTTTTATTATCTTTTTAAAAGAAAATCACTGTATAGCCCATGTGTTATCAGGGCAGTTGTTTTAAATTTAATTTCTTAGAACAGAAATGTTTTACATAGCTATAGACAATTGTATATGTAATTTATATTAATCATCTAATGTAATTTTCTAAATAAAAACTACTGAGGTTAGCTCTAAAACAAGCCTACAGTTGAACCATGCTCTTCTTTCTCTTCCCCCCCCCCCCCCCCCCCCCCCCCCCCCCCCAAGTTAGTAGAAAGTTTGTTTCGTTCATTTTTACTTTCCTTCTTCTTCTTCTTCTTCTTGTCTAGCCCCCAATGGAGCTTAGGCCCTCAACCAACTCATGCCTAGTCATTCTATCTTTTGCTATCACATGCAGCTCTTCCCAAGTCCTCCTCCTCTTTCTAACTTCATTTCCAGGTCCCTTCTTCATGTGTTTTTTGTAGCCTTCTTTTATTCCTGTGCTTGTGGGTTCCAGTGCAAAGACATTCTAGTTATATTATTCTCTGGATTTCTTAATATGTGTCCTATTCAACGCCAGCGTCTTTTCTTTACCTCTTGGTCCACTGGAGCTTTCTTAGTTCTCTCCCAAAGCTCTACATTAGTGATTTTATCATACCATTTTTTTTTATTTTGACACAGTACATTTCCTTGAGGATACAAATATAAAGTGTACTGTTCTTTCAGCACCGGGTGTTAACTTTTCTAAAATGTTAATCTTCTTATGTTACTCAATACAGTATTTACAGCTGTTGAATGTATTTTCATTTACTTCTGATAAACAGGAAAGCATAGAAGAGGAAACATTAAAGGGTTCAACTGCACTTAAGAAGAAGCTAGATGACATTAAGGAAAAAGTCTCTGAGGTAGAGGATTCTTACTGTTTTATTTAAAATTGTGTCAGTGATTTCATTAGTTACAGTTTGACAGTTAATTTAATTTATTATTATTTGCATTATTTCCCAGCATTCTGCTGATATCGGCTCCTAAAATATAATCTTTATTAACTCTTATGCGTCCCCAAGTTTGTTCTTTGATCTTTGGGGGGGGGGGGGGGGTAAGACCCACTGCTGCTCCAACAAGGCAACTGATTAGTAAGTAAAAAAAAAAGTAAAGGACTTTTTCCACGCCTTCAGGCAAATCGTGCTAGACCTATATTTTATAGACCAATCAGCACTTAGTGGGTGATGTGGTTGGCATCACACCGGCCTCCTTTACTTTCCCGGACTGCACCTGGTACCCACTCAAGGCTGGGTCAACATGGGAGCCAATGTCATTTGACAAAAGCCCAGTTCCATCAGAACCCAAACCCACAGCTGATTAGAGAATTGCAGAAATCAGACGTCTTAGACAGAAAGGTGTAGACGTCACAACCTAGCTGTAAACAGCAGCTTTCTAACCGCCCTTTTGAGAGCAGACACAGAAAAAGGAAAAATAAATCTTCTACTCAGTTTGTAGCCATAGTGTATTTGCTGTTAAGACTAAAGAATCTTTGAAATGTTAAAAAAGCTAGTCTCATGGCAGCATGACTGCTGTTGGGATGTGAAATGTTAGTCCTTTGCGTATGAGGAAAGGTAACCCTTTCGCTTCTACATCACTATTCATTCCCAGGGAATTTCCAGAAATATCTAAAATTACCAGGTGGTGTGGGACTGGACCATCACAAGACACCTACTGGTCAGGGAAAAAACCTGACTTCATTTTGAATTGATCCTTGACCACTTATCTTGTCAGGCAAGTGCACTTGCCATTATGTCACCATGGTCCCATTTGGAGGTTCCTCTTACTGTTACACACACTACAGTTCCTATTATTTTAGCCGAATATGTTGAAACAGTATCATGCTTGATGACCTGGACTTTGCAGATGGTTTGTCTCTTCTATCCTACTCCAGAATCAGATCCGAAATAAATTGAATATACTTGATGACATACAAGTGGTATGGAGTGGAAACATGGAGAACGAACAAAACAATTACCATTAAACTAAAAACATTTAATTACTGGTGCCTGCACAGAAAAGAGGGAATTAACTAGTATGATAGAATCACTAATGTTGAGCTTTGGGAGATATCTAAACAAGCTCTACTGGACCAAGAGGTGAAGAATAGACATTGGCGTTGGATAGGACACACATTGAGAAAACCTGAGAATAGTATAACTAGTATGTCTTTACACTGGAACCCACATTGGCATAGAAATAAAGGCAGACCCCAAAAAACACGGAGAAGCGAACTAGAGAATGTAGTTGAAGAGATGGGGGATATGTGGCGTGAGCTGCATGCACTAGCTAAGTATAGAATGACTTGGCATGACTTTGTTGAGGGCCTATGCCCCATTGGGGGAAGAAGGCAGAAGAAAGAGAATAAGAAATTTTAGACTTCCAAGATAAGATGTACAGTGTAACAAGAGGTGATGTGATTTATGTATTTCATTTAAAAGAATAATTGTTTTATAATTCATTATATGTTAATGTTAACTCCTGAGTAGTGCACCTGATGAGATATAATGAAACATGTTGGGCAGTATATTGTGAAATTTATCACTTGTGTCCCCCATTATTTAAGTTCACAGTAGGAAAATATTTTTGAGTTTAATATTTTAAATCTCAGAAGATCATAATGGGGGGGGGGGGGGGGGGGGGGGGGGGGGGGGGGGGGGGGGGGGGTAATGTTATCAGGAAAATTGCAAGAGTAGTATTCTCATAGAGGCCAAACATAACACACCTTGTAAACCAGACATATACTGTCAGATGTCTTTACTATTAAATTAAATAGGACAATCCACAAGCAAGTTGATACGTTTAAGTACTGGGGTACCCTGGAAATAACAGATGGAAGATGTGTTAATGATGTTGAATAAAAAAAAAAATAGCCCAGGACAGCATTTTACAAAATGACAAATATTCGGTTCTTTTGTGACATCCTATATCCTACCCCAGACGATGTCACAGGACACTCCAACATTTTAGAGGGTGGTAAGACTGGGTTTTACTGCTTTCAGATGTTTTTAGCGACCCCAAAACATCTACAGCTGGCCCTAACCCCAACCCACCTATATCCCATGAGAGAGTGTAGCCTAGGTCCCACAAATGCATGCAGCCTAGGTCCTATGAATACAGTCAGCCTGTCTACCACCCCCTGAAATATTAGACTGTCCCGTGACCTGTGGGTTCCCCCGTTTGGGGTAGGATATTAAAAAAGCACCAAATATTCTATGCAGTCCAGTCCTTCTTTGTCAGTTAAGAGAATTCTCTAAAGCTATATAAATTATATTCTGATGTTCCGAAGTGAATCATGGACAATTTGTTGATTTGTGAAATATAATATGGAAGCAGCGGAGATGTGGTTTTATAGACAAATATTAACAACAGCCTGGACAGATACAAAGAGTAATGAAGATGTCTTGAAAACAATTTACTCACGAAGAGTAACGATTGCCCACATCAGAAGGAGACAGTCTATTCTTTGGGGTCCTGTCATAAGAAGAAGAAAACTGGAGTACATCGTGACATGGGAAAGTTGTAGTGGGGGAATAATGTAGAGGAAGACTGACAGAAAATATGCTGGATATTTTGACATCATGGCATGAAAAATCATCTGTTACAGAATTGATTAAAAGTACATGAGACAGAAGGCGGTCAGCAGACATGACTACCAGTGCCACACAGCATAGACCACAAGAAATCTTTAGTATACCCTGACTAAACTCAAGTACAAATTACAATCATACATAATATATTCATTAGTGCACATGAAGAAGCCAGTCACACAATTTACTTTACTTGGGATAATAATTTTTACATATTTCTGTTACCGAAAAAACATAATCACAATAAAGCATGTAATTTTGATGGAACTTGTCCCTTAATTTGTGTACTTTTTAATTTACACGGTGACTCACAAAATTAATAATCTTGATTAAATTAGTTGTATGTGAGTTCCACCCCTTCCCTTTCCCGAAGTACATTTTACGTGAATTGTGATGTTTAAATTTAGTTTTATTTTTTTTTTCTGAATTCCCTGGCTGATTTTAGACAGTTGAAGAGGCCCAGAAAACAGAAATTATCAAAAAAGGCATTGAGACTGCTACAAGAGCTGCAGAGACCATTCAGAAGTCTGGCCAAGCCATTGGACAAAGTGATGCATTCAAACACATCAGTCAGGTAACTTATACGTGCAGGTTAAAATAAACTTGTACTGTTATTTATTTGAACTATTCCAGAATCTTACTACTAAGTTAGTTAGTCAACACATACTCATTGCACATTGAATCATTCAGTTCATAAGTGCTCGGATCCCCTTCTCAGTAATTCCTGCAGCTTGTTGCGACTGTTGAAACCAGTTCTGTGTTGGTTTATTACATTCTTTGGCTTCCTGCACACTCTGTTTAACTTGCTGTTTCTTGCAGATTCACAAACCTCTCCTTGTTGTCACAAACATCTTACTTCTTATAGAGCATTCATTTTGAATGATTGGTCCATGGCTTGTCCAACCTCCACAGTAGATTCACCTGCAAGCCTGTCATCATGCTCATTTCCTGGTACACCCTCACATGAATGTCTTAGTTACTTTTTTAAATTAATGACTTGTCTAACTTTGATATTAAATTGTGTTAATGAATAAACCACCAGCTGCATGCCTCTGTATTGCTATAGAAACACTACACTGTTGATATTTTAATGAGACAAGATTCATTCAAAGCTTTAATAAAAATGAACATGAATATGAAATATTTTAATGTATAGGGATACATTATTTTGGCATTTATAATGCTACCACCTCTAAACATTGTTTATGTTGATGGAGCAGTTTAAAAAAATGGTAAATACAATTTATATTTTAATTAATGAAAACTTGTGTTCTTTTTCCTTAAGTCTTGTGGCGTTGGTAGTCATGTCTATCCACAACCTTTTGTCTCGTGTACCTTCTATCAACTCGTAACACAAATGATCCTCCATGCTATGATGTCAGTCTGTCCAGCATCTTTTCCCTAGGTCTCCCCTCCAACTTTCCTACTGTCACGATACACACCAGTTTTCTACTTCTCATCACATGACTGAAGAATGTAGATTGTCTGTTTATGATGTGGGCAGTCAGTTCTCTCCTTGAGTCAGTTTTTTTTAAGACATCTTCGTCACTCTTTTTGTCTGTCCAGGGTATTCTCAACCACATCTCCACAGCTTCTGAATAAGTTTTCACTAATATACCAACTATCCATGATACACTTCCATATATCAATATAGGATGTATTTAGCTTTAAAGAATTCTTTCTCATCTCACTTGACAAAGAAAGACTGCATAAAATATTCTTCGTTTTGTAAAATGCTGCCTTTGCTTGATCTATTCTACATTTAACTTCTTTAATACATCTTCCATCTCATGTTATGAGGGTACCCAAGTACTTAAACATTTCATCTTGCTTGAGATTGGTCCCATTTACTTTGATGTTGTATTTTGGAGGGTCAGTTTTTTTTGTTTGTTGTAATTACCATTACTTCTGTTTTTTTGCTGTTTCAAACTAAGACCCTTGTTTTCACTTTTACAGTTACATCCATAATTTCTTGCAGTTATGTTTCATTTTCAGCGATCAAAACTATATCATCAGCATATCACAGAAATTTGTTTATATCTACCATTATATCTAGTTTACTGAGAGCATTTACAGGCAATTTTTTATGATTGAAGTTTGTACCTTTTGAACATTTTTAGAAAAAGGTACTGAGGTGAGGGATGTGTTTGTTCATTTAGTTCTCACCTTTACCTTGCTGTGTCATTACAGGGTGTGCGGTCTGCTAAAGAAGAGTTTGATGAGATCACCCTCTCAAGAGCTCGACATTACAAGACACCAGGTATTGGTTTTGCTGCAAATTTTGGCTTAACGGTCAGGCAGCTTCGTGTCAGTTAAACATTTGTTTTGAAAATTAATAAGGGAAAATAATAAGAAACAGTTATATGAGTTTCGGGCACTGAAGCAGTTTTTAATATCCTTTGAAAAATAGTTAATTTGTTGACTTGACAAATGGTTAAACTGTTCACTGGACAAGTGGTTAATTTGTTTACTTCCATGTTTTGATAGGTAATCTTTTGGGTGACTAGATATTTAGAAGTTGATATTGTGCTTAAGATGTTAGATCGTGCCACTTGCTGTATCAATGCACAAGGGGCTTACTTTGAATCAGATACTGGTTATTCCTCAGCTATTGATTATTTTAATTTTTATGGAACAAGTCTCATTACTTAATTGTCAGACCTTGTATATCTGTTTTAAAGTATTTATAGCTGACAACATAACAAAAACAAACAAATAAACGATACCTGAGCGTTTTTACCTAAATAATTTGTCATCATATCTAAGAAGAGTCTTAACCCTTTTGCCACGGAACGTTAAACAATAGGGTCTGGAAAAAAAATTCAAATCCCCCCCCCAACCTTTGAAAATCCAAACATTTACACAGGTCTGTGACGAAACTGCCCACTTCCCTTGAGATTACAACACTTTTAGTGTGTCGTCCCGGGTCGTGGGTTCTCTGGATTTGGGTTTAAATGATTTATATGTTGAGTAGGGATTTTCCTCTCAACACATCCCCTCCACCAGATTAACTGAACTATTATCCGGGCTATGTTGCTCTCAGACAAAGTCCTGGATATCCAAGAAAACAGCCATATTGGCTCGTTATTTATATTAACTTTAGCTGAACTTGGTACCCACAAGAGAAGGAAATGGGTTTTAGATGTCTATATATTATTATTTTGAATGATTTACAAGACAGGGCAGTTGACCCAATCCGTCGACCTTCTCTTGGAACATAATTAGTATTATTTAATGAGCCGCCACCAAATGCTATTCTATCTTAACAGTTAAATTAAACATGTAAGAACACACACACTTGGAATTATAAAAACTGATGCAGGATAAGACCATATAATTGATTTATTAACCTAGCAATCATTTTAGTTATTTATATTTTTAGTCAGTAGTGATGGTATTGTGGTAATGATATGCTTCAGCTAACTGAGCACCTATGATTAGAATGAAGTGATAATGGTGGTGTTTAGTTACATAAATACATTTAGAAGGTGGAACCTTTGCGAGTCCTCGTGTTGAGTCCCTTCTTAGCGGTTCCAACCTTTCCGCCCAGTTCTCCTGGTCCTTCCACCTGGTTCCCACCTGTTTCCCAGCTGGCCGAGTTCTAGCACAATGTAGTCTCGTGAGGGTGATGACCCTCTATTTCTGTTCTTAGAAAAGACTGATCGACACCCACATGGGAGCTGTAATAATGGAAACAAACACATACGTGTAGTATCTTGACTTACACTAAGAATACATGTGTCAATTAATACACTATATAATAATACATTATATCTCATCACTCCTCCTCATATTCCCCATTCTCTCCAGTCTGTTCTGAAGGTCTTTGTGTCTCACACCGATGTCTAACATATCCTGCCTTTCCTCTCATGTTCTGTCATGATAGTTGACTTTCTGTTGTCCGTCATCACTCAGACTTCCAACTTGCTGACATTGATTTGACATAAACATGTGGCGCAGGTTATGTGCTGAACACGCAAAACATTTTATACGTGCATGCTGTCCTGAATATTATCTTTCAGTGACAGTGAATAATATACACCCATGTTTCTTCCCCTGGGGATGTAAATCCCCTGTTTAGGTGAACACATTAAGTGAGCACATGGTGGGCACCCAAAACGTAACAGCATGGCTGCATCTGTGGGCATCATTTCCCACAGTCCAAACTCAGGTTTTGGTTGATGGTTGAAACATTATAATTTCATTACATTTCAGTATACAAGTCTTATTTTATAAACATGAAAACATACACTGAAAAACATGTGGCACAAACAAACAAGAAATAGAAATGGTTTAGCAGTTCCCTAACTGAGATACTGAATACTCACAAAGAACTATTTCAAGCAGAATGTGTAGACAAATTAGGAAAAGGTAGAATAGGCTTAGCTAACTCCCTAACCTATGTATACAAGATTGAAAATAATTGTACACGCTTACCTGGGAACTTACAGCAATCGCCAAACTAGAATCAAACAGTAAGAATTACCTCTTCTGTCGTTCTGAGTTTGTTGCCTGTGGCAGCGATTATGACGGGAATTCCAGGGCTAGTCTTATTAATACCTCTATCTGTCTGCAAGGTTAAACTCCACCCTCTACTAGGTTCTACCCAACCCTCCAGGAGATGACCTAAGCCCCGCCTCTGAGGTACCTAGCAGATCAACCTAGCTATCAATGGGCCTGTCACTCACAGTGAACGGCCTACAGTACAACCTTGACCAAGATCAGACATTCCTAATTGGCAAACATCTGTTCTCCTGAGAATTTAACTGTCATGTGTGAAGCTTCAGACGCTGGACGCCATCCTGTTTAGAAATGTCTACCAGACCACTTAATTCCCCTGATCTAGTCTGATCAAAGGCCCCACTCAGTCTGTGTTATGTAACCTTCTATGACACTAAGGTCGGGTTCAGGGGAACTAATCTCAGGTGTGATACAAAGTTATCTCCCCCTTTACTCGCCTCTACAGACTGGGCAGGAGATAATTTTCTGACATGGGCTGGTGCAACTCTAGCTATAGTAGTATTAAGTAATATCACATAAAGCGTGGTTGCTTTGGCGAGAGACTGGAAACACGGTTTAAACAAGTTTCAAATCCATTGTGGCGGCTTTAGAAATATTTTAGGCTCAGTGTCTATTGCTTTTAATTCTTTGTCCTTCTCTGAACATAAGAAATTATTAAACACAATATAACTTCTGAGACCACTGAGGTCATTTCGTCACAAGGTCGCAAGTAAATTAAAACAAAAAACAAATGTATTTCCATTTTATATAATTTTTTTTGAAATTTATAATGGGGCATAAAAAGAAGTAATAATAAATACAAACAGTGAAGCAATAATTTGAACAAATCCCCTGGGGACTAAAAGACATCTGTATTAGGTGGCTCCTGCCGTGACCTCTATCAGTGAGGCTTACAGAAAAATGTGACACTGACTTGGCTTTATAAAAAAAAGAACATTTGGAATTTCATAAACTCATCACTGTAGAAATGCCAGCTAAGCAGCACTTTTGGGGATTTGGAACCTACCAGAAGTGCCAGGTTTGTGGCTTTCTGGGGCCAAAGGATTAAGGTATCTTTAACTGCTGTGACCCCTACTTTCAGCACTGCTGTTTCCACTGTTCTATACTTACAGCTTTTGAAAGTGATTGAGAGAGTCTGACAATAGCTTTTAGATTAAAGTAAATACAAAGAGAAAAAAAAAAATTGACAGCTGTTTAAACAATAAAATCCAGATTTATATTGTTTTTGGGTAGAACATGCAGCTATGCAATGGAGGATGCAGCTATGCAACAGAATATTTATTTTTATATCCATGTTTGAGGTGCATAGTCTTAATTTTGTTTTCTTTTTACTGTGCAGTGGTATTACAGAAAAGATCTGAATTATCAGCTAAACCAAAAGACAACAAAGATGTAGCAGCAGATGAGTAAGTAATGTAAACCTGTTTTTTTTTTCTTGTTTATTATTTCTGTTATTTCCCTGATGAAACCATGTGTATAGACTGATAAAGCATTAAATGTAACATACAATAGTTTATGAGTTAGACAGTAAACAAAATAAAGTTGAATTTCTAAATTGAAGAAGCTGTGAATTAATATTTCTGTTTTCTTAGGGTCCATTTTAGTAAACTGAAAACAGAATATATATTTATCATGTTTAATTTGCTTTTATGAGCTTTCATTTGTATTGCTAAAAGATATTGAGAAAGGGGTTGAAGTCAATCATGAAGACAGAGCTACAGTGGACTGCAGGCTAAAAAAAACTTATTACAACTTCAGAGCAGACATAGCAGCTCTTCTTGCAATTCTTACTAGTGCAGGAGTATATGCACAAATAACTGTTGATATGAACTAAGGTTTGTGAAACCCTTAACGCCAGAATCAAGACAGATTCATGTGTAAAAGAGCCTTCACTGGGACTGATTCAGCAGTATCCTGTCCAAAAATACATGGCTGGCAAGTTTGCAGTGGATACCAAGCCATTGTAGTAACCATGTAAATGAAAATAAAGAGGTTGTAAAGGTTAAGAGGAAATATTTTTCAACCTAATTCGTTCTAGAGGATTTAAAAAAAAAAAAAAAATACTCCTAAAAACAAAATATCTAATTGTTGTAGAGAATAGCAAAACCATACTAGGCAGAAATTAGCAGCTACAATTCTTCAGAACTAAGACACTGGACTCTGTAAGCACAATTTCACTGAACGGGGCTCAGAAACTGCCACCAGCAGCAGTAAAACACTGAAATAAACACCAGAATATTTGCTCTGTAGCTGCCCAGAATTTGTCAAAGAATGGGAATCCTTCATAAAGAGGCATTGGTTATAAGAAGACGAGTTCATAACCTATGTTGAAGCGGATGCATATTTGATTGCTGAACAAAAAAAAAAGCATAATTATTTTGTTGTTGTTGGTTAGCCTTCGTGAAAAATATAAACTTGATTCTTTTGTTATGCTGAAAGAGTATTTTGCTATATACTTTATGCATATAAGAGTGCATAAAATAAAATATTGTTTTACTTTATCTTTTGAGTGAAAATAAAATTGGTAGAAGGGAGAGCTATAAATAATTTTTTTTTTTTAATGGTTCAATACATCTGTCAGTGTGCAACCCTTACTGGTAAGTGGCCGTGTTTAACAATCATTGTACTAGAGTTTAAATGTCAGCAATAAGTGGTTTAGGAAAAGACTGCACTTGTGGCTTTTGAACTGTCACACAAGAATCACACTGGAAAAGAGGGCTTTATTGTAGGCAATATCTGTTGTGGAGATGGCAACATTTTTTTTTAACATCTGTAAATATTAAAAATTTTATATTATGATTAACATAAGTTTTATTTTGTCTCCAGATATTCCACTGGTGTGGTTCTGCATAAAGACTCTAGGTTTTATCAAAGTTGGCAGAATTTCAAGGATAACAATCCTTATGTAAATAGTATGTACATCTTTTTTTTTTAAAAATATCAAAAACAATAAAGAGTTTAAAATTCAAAAGTCGAGAGGATCAGCGTCCCTGCTCCAGGTTTTAATCTTGTATCATTTGGTCTCTCTTCACAGAATAACTTGAATGAACCATCAACGACAGTGAAATTTATACAATAGACAAAATTGCTGATATAGACAACTTATTTCAGGCGAACGAAAGAAGAAGAAGAACTAAATAACTAGCTTCCTACCAAGAGCACAGCAAAACTGATTAGCTCCTTGACATTTTCCAGGGTACTAGTGAATCATATGATGGGTTCATGAAGAAGGACCCTCAAACTTCAGAGGCAAATGGTTTGACCACATCACCACTTATACCAGAGTCTAAAGCGCCCAATCTCACATTCTCCTGTGTCGTGATGACCGATAGTTGTTGGGAGCAGAATCCAGCTGCTGTCAATGCCGAGGTATGCGCGCTTATCAGTGACAAGTCAGATGAGACAGATGTGGTGATCTTCACTGACGGGTCTGTTATACAAGGATATTAGAGTGCATGGGCATTTACAGCTCGCTCTTCAGGCAGAACAGTTAAGGAAGCCAGCGGTGCCTTCTCCGTGACCACCAGCAGCATGACGATGGAGCTGATGGCAGTGACACAGGCTTTCGTGTGGCTGGGATCACAGGAATATTCCCGTGTGTGTGCTGAGTGATTCTTTGAGTATGATCCGGCGGGCCGGGTCAGGCTGGTTACGCAGACCGTGGCTTGAGTCATTGCAAAATTCTCCTGTGTGTGTAGTTACTTTCATATTCGTCCCAGGTTATGCAGGCGTTGTTGGTAATGAGAGAGCTGATAGACTGGCAGGTACTGCATTAATTGAAGATGGCCGGCCCATGGATCACGCAGACATTGTCATTCCCTTAGAGAGATAGGAAGTTCTGAGGATTTTGGAAGCAACGTGTCCACATCACTTCTAAGAATAGGTGAATCAGGAGTAAAGATCGGCACAGCCAAGCATGAGAGGCACATTGGACGCACATTAAGTCTTGTTAACCAACATAGGACTGGTACTATTAACCGCACGACGCTGATGAATATGTTGAGAGGGGAATCTGAGCGCCTATGGATGTGTCCGGAGTGCTGTGAAGATATTCTAACTCATAACTCATAACACATCACCACTGAGACACCTACTAATACAAGTAATGTAAATGATCCATTTTCATGCTTGTGTTGGATGTTGAGTCTGTCGTGCTGGATCCTTGTTGTTTTACCAATCAAGACTTGATGAATAATGGGGGTAGCTGCTTAAATTCTCAGATAGGTTTAGGTTTAGACAACGGATCAACATCATGGCACTAGGGTAGTAACCCATAAGTGCTTCATTCTACTTCTGACTCAAATCTAAGTCCGAAGCAGCGCAGTGCATGAACTCTGTAGCAACGACGAGGATCCTTAAATACTTTAGGTATATTTTAAACTCCAAATTTTTGCCTGTACGGCCCCGTTAGGCTACTCTTTTTAGATTTCCAACTGCCAGGGGATTTTTTGCGTGCGCACACAATACATACGGGCGTCCCATCTTACTACCCAGAGACCAGAGGAAATTACTAGAATCCGCGTGAAAAAATCCCAGCTTTTATTGGGGCCTGAACTCAGGACCCCCAGCACTCGAGGCATATGCCATGCCTCGACCACGCAGCCCCCCTTAAAATTCTCTGAAATTTCTCTTTATCTATATTTTTGCTGGTCCAGTTAAAAAAAAAATGTGTCTTGTTCAGGGATTTGAAGAGATGACCACCAGACTGGCGCACAGATGTGTTAGCCATTAATTTACAATGACAAGGTAAAGATACTGCACTCTGGAAATGAAGAACTTAGCACAGTTATTCCATTATGACTGTGTGATCTTATTCACAGACGTGTTGAACTGGAAAGTGTTTGTGTGTGTTCTTGTTCGCAGACATGCTGAATTTGAATCAACACTTAGCATTCTGCATTTGTTCACAAAATAATAATGACTTTTATTTTGTAAATGACTTTTACAGATTGTTGATTGCAAAAGTCTGTGTCTGTTCCTTTATATATGCATGTACACATTATGCCATGCGTGGACTAATTTTCATAGTCATTAATTGTTATTTTCAGAGTTATTTGATCTCAAAGTGAAGTATGATGAAAGTGACAATGTAATGATTAGAGCAACCCGATTTTTTACAGACAAAGTGGGACAGGTGTTTGGTAAGTCAGTTTGTTTCTGTTTCCTTTATTAATTAATTAGTTAAGGTTCAGCATATAGTCAATAACCCTGTCCTGTCTGTTACAGGGACCCATAAGGAAAGAAAGGTAATACTAACCTGCCCAGGATTAGAAGGGGGGGGGGGGTGATTAGCAGGCTGTTCAGATTGGCTGCTGTAGCTTCTCTGGTCTGCTTTATAAGAAAGTAGATATAGTGAAACAGGAATATTCATACCCAAAAGACCGATTTAGCGGGGAGAATGCAGGGAGCCTGGAAGGTTTTCAATGCACAGGGGAAAAATGTAGTCTTTTAATCAGGTTGCAGCTGACACAGTCAGTATGGAAACTCTTTGTTGGCTATTGAGGAACAGGTCTGAGCATGTGTAGGTAGGCCCTGAGTGCAGTTGTGTGATCTCTTGATTCATTCATTCTTATCATCAGAGGTGATTAAGGAATGTTGGTGTGAGACTAGCCTCCTCATCCTGTAGAAAGTGTTATGTGCAAAATCTTCATGTAGAAAACATGTGTAAAATCTTCCTGTAGAAAATATTATGGGCACAATCCAACTTCTACTTCTGCCCTTTTTCCCCAGTGGAGCGTTGGTCCTCAGCCAATTCACGCTGTCCTATCTGTTGCTATTGAAGACAGGTGACCCTATACCTTCCTCATCTTTTTAAACTTCACTTGCTAGTTTCCTTCTCCATGTGCTTTTTGGTCTGCCTTTATTAAGATCCAACAAATCATAAACAAATATACAAAAAGTTAATCTTGAGTCTGAGGTAAGAGAAAAAAAAGTAAGGGAAAATGCAGTGTACATTAAATAGGAGTAATTTAGTTAGTAGTACTTTTAGTCCAGAATTAACCCCTCTCAGTTTTTCACCACCTCACATCTTCGGGGTAGACTCAGCTGCATTTAAGTACCAGCCGGCTTTTCTGTAAAAAGTGGTCCCTTAAAAAATATTGGTGGTGCTGCGTACCATTGTGCACTGCCAAGAAAGAAAAGTCTTTGGTACTAGGAAATGTGCTAGAATTTAAGGCACATGATCACACCACCCATTTAGTTCTTTTGTATAGGCATGACTTACTGTAGAATCTGTGCACTGCCAAGAAAGAAAAGTCTTTGGTACTAGGAAATGTACTAGAATTTAAGGCACATGATCACACCACCCATTCAGTTCTTTTGTATAGGCATGACTTACTGTAGAATCTGTGCACTGCCAAGAAAGAAAAGTCTTTGGTACTAGGAAATGTACTAGAATTTAAGGCACATGATCACACCACCCATTCAGTTCTTTTGTATAGGCATGACTTACTGTAGAATCTGAATGGTGGATCCCAGCTTTTAATTACAATCCTTTAAAGAAATACTGAATTAAGGTGTTTATCATGTGTGCTAAAGCCAGTTTCTGCAGCAAAGAACTTGACAGTGTGTATTGTTTTGAAATTTTCTTTAATGTTCACTAAATAGTAACTGTGAAAGGCATATACAGTTTTTTTTTTTAAATATCTTTTTTGTCATATGTGGCATTTATAAATTTTTCCAGGTGGGATGTTCACGAAAACAGAAATGTCAGAAGTCCTAACTGAGATTTGTAAAATTGACCCTAACTTCAACAAGGAGGCATTTATACGTCTGTGCGAAAAAGAAATAATACCTAACATATTAGAGGTAACTCATTTTATTTAAAGTCATGAAATGTGTTTCACACTGACAAGACATATTTAACTGTAAAATATTTGTTGGTCTGTGATTATCTTTCTTCCTTTTTCTTTCTACTCCTGGAATGCCTCGCGGCGGCATGGGAGATCTCTAGAACAGACCCTTCTGTTGGCTTCTTACATAGTACTTTTCAGTGTCTCTGATATTTCTGCGGTCCATATTCTGCGTGGTCAACCTCTGGGTCTGTTACCACTGTATCTGTATAACATTGCTCTCTGTAGTGCCCTGTCTGCTGCCAGTCTTGTTACATGGCCAGACCATTTGAGTTATTGTCTACCTATAAAGTTCAATATTGGTTCTTTGCCGATTCTCCTCGTGATATCATCATTCCTAAGTCTATCTTTCCTCATTACACCTAGCATAGTACGTAAACATTTCATTTCTGTTGTGACTATTTTCCTTCTATCTGCTGACCTATGTTTGACATTGAAAGCATAGTGTTGGTAAGAATATTGTGTTAAACAGTGATTATCATCATATTTTTATCATCGTTTTGTTATTGATGGAAAGGAAAATGATGTGGGCTGAAACCTTACATTCTAAGTAGAATGATGATTATCATCATCAAATGCCTCGTCGACTGGCGTAGACAATCATGCCTCTCCACAGTCAGTGATCTACAACGGTTTGTTTGTTGATACCCCTCCATGCCGTGACAAAAGGCTGTCACGAATCTTCTTACGTTGTCTTCCTCCCTCTCTCTTTTCTCAGAGTCCTCGCCTCTTTTAAAACATCTAGGTTGCTCTTTTTTTTGGCTGTGAAAGGAATTCTTAATATGTTTCTGTAAACAACAGCTCTGAGGCCTCAAGAAATTGTTTAGCTTGTATATTGTCCAGAATCCAGAGCCATATGTTAAAACTGGCTCTGTGTAGCATGCGAGAATTTTTTTCCTAACCTCCAATGACATAGATTTATTGCATGAAATGTTCTTTATTTTATAAAATACATTTTTGGCCTGCCCTATTCTGTTCTTTACCTCTGTGATATATCTTCTGTTGGATATTATCCATGTGCCTAGATGCTCAAATGTCTGTACTTGTCTCAAAATAATGTCTTAGACTTTTATTGTACATTTTTGGCACTATTCTTTGATTTCATTACTTCTGTTTTCCCATTATTCAAGCTGAAGCCCATGTTATCACTTTCTATCACCATTGTATCTATCCATTCATGTACTGCTTTCTGATTTGTACACAGTCTTTTTGTGCTCTGAAATTTTTCCCAAGTGGTTGTTAATTCGGCTACCTTATGAATAACGGTCCCAAATTATCGAGGCTGAAAATATACCCTAACAGGACCTCAGTCATGTGTCAATTGCGGACTTCTGGTGACTACCGGCGAGATTATCTTCCACGTAGCGGCGTGGGAGATACACTCGTCAATGGCAGTATAGTCCCCGGAAGTCCGCAACTGACACATGACTAAGGCCCTATTAAGGTATATTTTCTACCTCGATAATTTGAGACCGCTATTCGGAAGGTAGCCGTTAATTCTTATAGCCGCTGTTTGCTGCCAGTACACGTTCTTTATCATTTGTAAAAAATTGTCCACTAGTGTTTAATGATGCGATAATACATATAAGAATAAGTCATATCATTATTTCAGAATTATAATACAGTGTAAATTTGAATTTATAAAATTGTGCATGTATATTTTATATTACTTCATAGATATAAGGAAGTTTTTTCCCAAGAAAAGTACTAGACATCAATTGTTTGCATTGAAAAATAATTTTTTTAAAATATTTGTTTCGTCTTCAGGCAATGGTTAGAGGTGATCTAGAAGTATTGAAGGATTGGTGCTACGAGGCAGTAAGTTAATCATTTGTTAATGTGTTGCTATTTGAAAACTGGAGGTTAGGTCTGTTAATTTGGAACTTTGATCTTTTTTAAGTTTAATTTCTAAATATAAAAGAATAATGATTTGCAGTTTCTAGAACTTCTCAGACAGCCCTTTATTTCAGTCTTGAATACATTTGCCATTGTAGAATAAGAACAGTAAAAAAAAAAATTTAGGAATGTAAAATGATGAGGGAGAAAGCTGTTTTCTTATTAAGCCTTTTATTTCTGTGTTGAATTCATTCGGCATTGTAGAATTGGAAATTTATAAATTATTGTAGCTAAGGAATGAAAAATGGTGTGGTAAAAAGCTGTTTTTTTTATTATGCCTTCTATTTCACAGTGATGGCCTAAACATGCACCAAGCCATTCTACCCTTTTTTTTTTAGCAACTTCTATGTCTTCCCCATATTATACATCTAAAAATCTCTTCTCCATATTTGTAGGTCTTTATTTCTTTTGCCTGCATGTTCTAAGGAATAGAATTGCTAGTTATCCTGTTAGCAGTTTTCTCAATGTGTGTCCTGACCAGGATATTTTTGACACTTGTAAATTTGCTAGGATTTGTTTTGTTTAATTCACTCTATGAACCTTACATCGGTGATTCTGTTGTATCAATTTAATCCGTTTCTGCACCTGATGAATGAATACTGCTTAGCTCCACTTTATTATGCCAGGAGGTAGTTTCTGTGAAAATCAAACACTTCTCTTAACCTTATGTATTTGGTTTACCTTTTTCCCTCTTTGTTTAAATTTAAATAAATCTGGCAAAGAGTTATGAGTTACTGTTAGAAGCAATAGGCTTATAAGTTATGTTTATTTGCCACTTTGACAGTGTTTTACGTTAATGTCCATTCTGAAAGGCATTTTGACAGTTTTTTACCTAAATGACCATTCCGAAGGACATTTTGAAGTGTTTTACCCTCATGACCATTCCGAAGGGCATTTCAGACCATCATTAAAACAATTATAATTTTTGATCCCTGAATTTCTATAAAAATGTCTCCCATCTTCAGGATTCCCAGTTAATTTCAGGACATTTTCGACAATATGGTTTAACACAGGGTTCGTAGTGGACCGGGAAAACTTGAATTTACCGTGAATTTGATTCTTGGACCAGGAATAGCGATTTTCGCCTTTAAAAAGACATTCTGACCTTGAGAAGCCGTGAATTTTGACCGCCGCAATGAGATCGTTGGATTTTCAGCAGTTCAGCTTGTTTTTTTAAATTTGGCTTTTTTGGGGCCATTTGGCTAGTTTTGGCTACTTTTGTTTACGGTCGTTTCAGGTATGAGGGCAGCTGATATCGACTATTTTCAGCCGAAATGGCTAGTTAAAGACCAGGGAAGGGCGAGCTGTGTTGCAGCCCATGAATACATGCAGGCGGCGTGGTATGGGGCGGGAAGGAGCAGCTGGCGTGTGCGTGTGCCTTTGTTTGTAGCGAGTCCGGCAGAATTAATAGTCTAAATAGCTTTATGGCCTTGGTTTCTAGAAAGGATTACATTGGCAGATGGTGGGGCTCGGGTCCGTCTGTATTTATTAATAGAGTCGGCTAAGCAAGGTGACGTCAGCTGGATTTCCCAGTTCTATTTTTGGCCTTGTTTATCTTTACAGTGTGTTTGGCGATCAATATTGTAATTCCCAGAGATTCCTTCTTCTGTTGTCTCACCTCTCTCTCTCTCTCTTTCTCTTCCGTCCCTCTTTCACTCTTCTACCTATTGCTCCATCCTTCCCTTCTCCTGCTTTGTCTCTCACCCTCCCCTCTGATCTTCATCTTCTTCTCTTTCCCTCTGTCTTTCCTTTTACTCTCTCATTTCCTCTCCCCCCCCCCCTCCTATGTTATTTCTATGTTATGTTTAGTAAATGTGCTGCTCCATAACTCTTTTCCTAGTAACTCAAGTACACAGGAAGTTGTGGGCCTTAATCTCTGTCCATCACCCTACCTGCCCCCTCACATCTTGTCCTACCTTTTCCTCACTCTCTGCCTGTATATCACTCTGCCCACCTCTCTCTTTCTCTTTGTATTTGTCGCTCTTCCTCACCCCCCCCCCCCACCCCCCCCCACCTCTCTCACTCTTTCTCCATCCATACCTTCAATTGGCGTAGAAGGTTATGTGTTCTCCTCCCACATTGATTACACCTGGAGGGGGGGGGGGCACCCCTTCCTGCTTCTTTCTTCCCTCTATATCTCATCTTATTTATTTCTCCCTTCTTTCTCTCCCTGGCTCAGTCCCCACTTTCTTTTCTTAAACTTTATTCTCTCTCTTTCTCATCTCCTCTGTCTCACCCTTACCATCTCAGCCTTCTACACCACCTTCCACCACCTCCTCTCCCATCTCCTTTCTGTAATTGGAAAATCAGAAATAAAACTGGTGCCCTGAACTATTTTTGTGTGTGTGGGTTACCTGCTCTATTTTCCACCAGTGGTGGGTTGGGATCCCCTGGACGTTTTTTCTTCATAAAATGACCTTGGCTCTCAGGTCACCAGCCTTAAGTAAAAGAAATGGAACTATTGTTGTCACACCCAGATTGGACAAGCAAGGGGCGGTAGAAGTTAGCACTGTTGCTTATGGACCACGGCCACATTCACATTGGGAGAGGGTGGGAACCGGAAAAGTGGCCTCACTTAGATTTCCTAATTCTATTTTTGGCGCTCAGTGTTCTTACTGCCACCCCACCCCCCTCCCCAACCATGTCTGACCTCTCTTCTCTCACCCCTTCTCTTTCCTTTGATCTTCCACTCTTATCCTTTATCTCTCCATCCTTCCTCTGTTCTCTTTTGCTCTTCCTCCTGTCCCATCTCTTCTTTGCCTCCTCTCCATTCTGTCTTCTCATTTTCTCTAGATTTCCTTACCCTCTCCTCTCTCCCCCCCCCCCCCCCCCCCTTTTTTTCTGATTCTTTTACATTTGTTTTGTTGCCCCATAACCATCTTTTCCTAGTGGTTGTGTCCAGTACACTTGAAGTTGGGGGGGGGGGGGGGGGGGGGGGTGTGTTCAGTATGAGGCTGGTTATTTTTTTTTTCCTGATGTGTTGTTATATTTGTTAGCAATTCTTGCATATTTTTTTATTCTCTATCTTGTCTCCCTTCCTGCCTCTCTCTCTTAATCTGTGTTTGTCACTGCCTTCCTTACCCATCTCTCTCTCCCTCTCTCTTGCTTTATGTCTGTTTGCCTCCCTTTATCACTCCCTCTTTGTATACCTCCCTCCCATTCTCCTGCTCTGCCTTTTTTCTCTTTCTTTGGTTCTCTCCCTCTGTCTGCTTGTCTTTCTATGCTGTCCCTTTGTCTCTATCTCCTTTATGTCTACATCTCTCTCTGCTTGCATCTGCTTCTCTCCCTGTCCATTCTCTCCCCCTCTGTCTCCCTTCCTTCAACTCTCTTTGTCATATTTTCCTCCTTCCATATCTCTGTGTTTCTTTCCCTTCTTTATTCTCTCTTCATCTGCTCATCTCTGTATCTGCATTCCCTCTTTCTGTATTTGTCTCCCTCTCTGTCTTTCGCTGTCCCTTCCCCACTTCCCCCATCATGACTCCATCCCTCCCTCTCGTTGTCATATTTTTTCCTCCTTCCCCAGACTCCTTACCCTTCTTTCCTCTACCTTCATCTGTCCATCTTTACACTGTCTCTCCCAGTCTACATCATCATGTGTCTTCCTCCCTTTCTGTATGACACTCTTTCTCTCCCCCTTACCCTTTCAAACAGTCTTTAATGGTTTGTTCTCTTGTTTCATATCTTAAAATATTCGACTCATCTCACTCACTGTTTATTTTTTAATAACTACTTATTGACCTCCTTGGAGTTTCTCCTTTTTTTTTCACATTTAGAAACTACTGTAAATTTTAAATTAAAAAAAAAAAACTAAATTGATGAAATGATGCATTTTCTACATTATATAATGATTATGTAATTGAAATATACACATTCTCTATCTTATCAACAGCCATATAATGCACTAGCTCATCCAATTGAGATCGCATTATATAATGATTATGTAATTGAAATATACACATTCTTTATCTTATCAACAGCCATATAATGCACTAGCTCATCCAATTGAGAACGCAAAGAAGGCAGGGTACTACTTTGACTCCAAAGTTTTGGATATAAGTCATGCTGATGTAAGTTGCAAATTATTTGCAGTGTATTGGTTATTTTGAATATCTAACTCTGTTTTAACTTAGATGCATTGACACCTCTTTCAAGATACAAAGATCTTCATGTTGGAAATGATAAATAGATGTGGCAAGCTAGATGTTGTAAAAGCCCTTTGGGAGCATGTGAACAGTGCGGAGGCACAAATAGATCATCTTGGTCTGAGGAGAATGGTGCTGCAGCGAGGTGGATAAACAGACTGTAACTTGTACCATCAAAATTGGAACTCAGTGCTTGCTGCTGAGGATGGGGATGGAGCACTTTTGGGAATGTCCCAAGTACTGTGATGTCAATTCCCAGTTCTGCATTTAAATTGATAGTTTTAAAAACAAAATTGACATTGAGTACAAATGTGTGCATTTATAATGCTGCCATATGTTAAATAATTTGGGAGGGAATTGGGTAGAAAATCAGTTACTGCTAAATATAATTGAAAATGTGAGACAGCTATATATTTATTATGGTAGTTGCACATGTCTTAACATGAAAGATGCGTTGATGCTGCATTCATGATAATGATATCAAGTTCTGCAAGCATAAACAGACATTAAATTTCATTTTGTTTTTAGATATTATTGAGTACATTTGTGTTAGTTCAGAAACTTTTGTAACATGCTAACAATTTTAAAGGGAAAATAGGGAGAGAAGGTTATTGCTATATGAAGTTAAAACCAAGATAACTACAAGGCAGATGTGGTCCAGGCCCTTTGGTAACAAGCAACGGAATCAGTAGAGATAGAAGATTATTAAGGTCTGGAGAGAATGATGCATCTGGGTGTAACCAGATGGTCTTGTCAGCTCACTACACTCCAAGGAAAGGCAAGACGGACATATAACTAGATTGTGACCGGTACCATCAGTATTGGAACTCTGCGCTGGCTGCTGAAAATGAGGACGGAGCATGCATGAGAATGCCCCGAGTGCTGTGATATCAATTCTTGACTCAATTCAACTCCATTTCCCTTAACATATTTGTGAATTTATTTTCCTCAATTTAGGTTATAGCTGGCAAAATAATGGAGCAAGGTCCAGTGCTGGTGATTAATTTTAATTCTCAGCAAATTATGGTTGTTCGTGATGCCAAAGGAAAAGTTGTCGAAGGAGATCCAGTAAGTGTTCATAAATACTTTGTATTTTGTAAAATACAGATACCTTTCATTGGCTTGCAAATCTCTCTCTCCTAACCCCCCCCTACCCCACCCCTTGCGCCTCCCCCCACTTTCACTCTTCTTACTTGATTGTAACATTGTAATAGTGGCTAGGTACTGGTGATGAGATGAAGAAAGCCATTCCTGAAAAATACACCTGGATTCTTCCTGATTTCGTTCATAAAATAAATGAGTATCTCTGATCAGTTGCTGTATTAGAATACATCTATTTATGACAAAACTTTTTATTATATAATCTTTTTTTCTGGTGGTACACAATAGTACACAGTAAGTACCAGCACCTTTTTTTTAAATAGACTGTTTTGAGTACCGGCACTTTTTTAAAGACACTTTGTGGTGGGTACCAGCATCTTTGTTTCTCAGACAAAAGCCCCGAATACAGTAGACCTACAAGTAGTACCTTATGTGGAAAGTAAGGGGAAATCTGCAGATTATCTTCCCAAAAAAGGTTTTAAAGCTGACAGAACTCGAATGTAGGATTTACACATTCATAAACTTAGCACCCACCTTCAGACTGAATGACATGACTTGATATAAATACCTCGCGACTTACCTTTACTGACTTATGACGTGCCAGATACATTTTGAAACCTGTCACTATTGTAGAAAAGAAACTTTGGTCCAGAGAATTCCTCAAACTAAATCCTTTAAAAAACCCCATTTTACATAAGTCACTAGTAAAAGTTCAAAGAATGCATTTTAAAAATTATTTTGTGTTAAAATATGAAGTAGATTAGTCAGTAAATATGAACAGAGTGGAGAATTAAATAGATTACACTCAACCAAGAGAAACATCCATGCAAGTCAAACTTTACAGGTTGCTGAGTAAATTACAAAAAGACATTGAAGCTCATACTAGAGACAACATTGCAAATATAGATAATTTATTTCAGGCGAACGAAAGAAGAAGATTTCACTCACTTATCCCAAAAAGTATACATAGTGACTCATACCTGACCCATGACTTTGTCTGTACACAGCTGCTAAGTTTAAATTATGATATCTTAATGGCCTAATTTTTCCAGCAAGAAAACCGTCATAAATGCTGTTTTTAATAAATACAATATCTAAGACCTCCTAGACAATTTATGGGGATTTATTACAGACGGAAGTGCAGGATTAGCAGCCTCTCAGGGCCAGAATGTTAAATGATAACATGGTTAATCACCATATTCACTTGTCCTGTTTGAATTCAGTAATCACCTATTGTAACATTCATGACATAAAAGACATTTCTTCACCCAATATGTCTGGTGTAAGATGAGATCCAGCATAATATTTTGGCAACAGCCTGTCACTAAAAGCTGAATATGTTTTTTCTCTCTCCACAGGATAAAATATTACGCATATTGTATGTGTGGGCACTGTGCCGAGATCAAGAGGAGCTGAACCCACGGGCAGCTTGGAAACTGATGGATATTTCTGCCAGCTCTTCAGAACAGTGGTTGTAATGGTGGCATATATGTCTATCTTAGGGAGCATGTTGAGAATATTGAACATTTGGTACGCTGCTGTTTATTTTGTATTTTAAAAGTAATAGTGCGAAGTAAGAATTATGTGTAAATACAAGAATGTGTGCATTCTTATGGTTTACTTTCTGGGTGTTGACATATTTATAATGAGTAGCAATGAAGTAAAGATAAAAGCAAAAAGTAAAGGACCCTTTTTTACACCTTTAGGCATATTGGGTATATAGGGCTAGACCTAAATTTTATAGAACAAATGGCACTTATTGGGAGATGTGGTCAGCATCACGCCGGTCGCCTTCACTGCCCAGCATTGTACCTGGTACCCTCTAAAGGCTGGGAACCAAGGTCATTTTTGAAAAAAGCCTGAACCCATGATTTTGCCATCCACAGGCGAGTGTCTATCCGCTAGACCACGGCAGCTACTAATGAAGTGAAGATGCATACAGTTAACAGATGCAGTTGCAAGAAATCTCCTATGTGGTTGAAATAAATAAAAGTCATTACATTAGAGTAATTACTTAGTAACATTACCAAGTGTCTGAAAGGTTGCCAAACTGCTTGGTCTAGATTTCTGGAAAAAGATACCAAACTTATTCCACAGTGTGAACAAATGGCGGCTTAATTTTATTTGTAATATGTGAAACATGTTTTTAAAAGAAGTAAATAAAGAATATAAATAAACTGTTTATTGTTTGTGTAATTGTTTTAAAATGGATAATGGTTTCTTATATACTTCTATATACATGTCTATGTGCATAGACATTTCATTGCTTTAATGTGGTAGTTGTCTACATAAGAAAGAGACAATCTACATTCTTTAGTCAGGTGATGAGAAGGAGAAAACGGGAGTGAGACAGTAGGAAAGTTGGAGGAGAGGAGGCAGTGGCAGACCAAGAGAAAATATGCTGGACAGTCTGACATCATGGCTTGGGGGATAATCTGTATCATAGTTGATTGCAAGTAAACGAGACAGAAGGTTGTAGATAGACATGATTATCAACGCCACACAGCATTCTTCTTTTTCGCGTTCACCGGCTGTAAACTCTGGTGGAAAATTCTGGTTCATCCAATTTAAAACTGAAGTCCTGTTCCAGAACTTAGATCTGTAAAACGGACACACAGGCAACACTCGACTTATTTGTATGCAAACTGCTGGTTGCTTGCCTTTCAAGCAGATGCACTCTGACTTCGAAGGAAGTTTCAAATTAGTCGACTCTTACGGCATCTTTTTGGCTAGGCAGTGGATCTATTCTAGTTTTCCCTATAATAGGGCTATGGAACCCACACAGGGCGCCACACAGCATGGACTTTGAGAAGAAGAATGTAGTAGTCATGGTGTTTCACAACTTTCTATATACACATAGCACTGTATAAAGTAAATAAAGGAACCTTTTGACACCAGTAGTGTATCGGGTTTATCATGCTAGACTCATATTGTATAGACAAGTCCACACTGTGGGTGATGTAGTCACATCATGTCGGCCACCTTTGCTTCCTAGGATGTTACGTGCTACACATTTTAGGGTGGGTTGACCTGAGAGTTGAGGTAAGTTGTAAAAAAAAAAACTGCTTTAATTTGGATTCAAACTCAAGACCTTCAAGCTAACAAGCAAGCATGCTTATATTATGGTGCTAAGCTTTAATTTTTTTTGAAACCAGTCAGCACCCATTAGATAATGTCTTCCTTATCTTCACTTATTTTTCTTTAACTGCTTTGTATGTTGAGGGAGATAACAAGGGTCTGTCTCATGCTCTTCTGGTCGCCGTGACCAAAGACACATTGTGCTGTTGTAGAGTTTCTCTGATGTTATCCTTCTGTCATGTGCTCAACGTCTTTCTCTTCTTTTGGTGTATGCTTTGTATAGTATGACATCACAAAGTATTCTCTGGAAGTTGGCAAACCATTTGATTTGCTACCTTTGAATGAAATTTAGAATTTGTTCTGTGCTGAATATTTCTTTTATGGCCTCATTTCTGATCTGATCTTTTCTGGTCACTCCTGGCAGATCTATTGGATGATGTCAATATATCAATATAGCTACTTCCCACAACACTTCCTGATTTAGACTGACCTACCAGACTGTTGCTTATTTACAACCATAGTTTTACAACAAATATTAGCAAAATAAGACACATTTCCGACAATGCAGAAAATCACTACAGCAGAGCTGAAAACACTAAAGCACTAAACAGAAAAATAATCTGGCTCTTAACTGTCCTTGACAAATATTAACTTTCAGTTAACATCTTCAGGCCTAGAAAGTTTCAGAACAGAAATAAATATTGAAGAAAAAAAAACACAGAGATGCTAAATACACAGTAAAGAAACCATTAAAAAAGCTAGATTTATTTATTAGGAAATGTTTTTAAAAAAAAAGATAACTGTACACCATGGTTATGATTCAAGATAAAGAACCAATCACATATAACTAAAAGCTTTCAATTATAATGAACTCTCCCAGTCTGAAGCAAAGTTTGTGTGACTGGCCATTTTGCTTGCTTTTTGTACCCCACTAGGACATCACACAAGCAATTAACACCTGGTGACACAAAGTGCCACCATACAGGTGTTGATCACCTGTGGAGAGGTCCCAGAAACCCATTTCAGCTGTTATGGCCACAATTGTGGCTCAGCTATGTTCAGGGCCCCCTGCAAAAGTCAGGGTGGGGCTTCAAATAACCCCACAAGAGGATGACTAGCCATTTTCTAATGTCGGGACAATTAGCTGTGGTTCCATCTTCACAGAAAATGGGTCATCCTATAATTGCAGTGTTCCTGTTTCAGTGAAACTGTTACTACTGTTTGTATTCACTGCTTTTAGGGCAGTGTAAACAGGGGTCCTTAGCCTGATGACTTGGGGCCACATGGCTAGTGCTGTCGCCATGGACAATAAAGGTTAGGATGTGTTTGTTTGCTCCCAACAGAAACACTCTTATCACTTTAATGGGGGTCAAACTCAAGTCTTCCACATAAGAGTCCATGTAATCTCCTGGTCTGTTGCTCTTCATTGTGCCAGTGAAAACCATACAAAATACCTATTACTGTCTCCTGGAAAAGTCAGTCCCAGCAAAACTCAACAGCCCATTAACACATTAAATTTACAAGGCAGCTGCCAGAGGCGCCAATACTAACAGTCCGGCACTAGAATTGCAGTCCACTGTCGATGGGAGCAGCAGTCATGACAAACCAGCATGTGCACATGTATGTCTGCATTAGGTGTACCGCAATGTGCCTCAACCATCATGTTATGCATCTTGCTATTTTGAACATTTGGTCAATGCACTCTAAAGAAAGCATCAGTAGTTGTTTTAATGAGATTATTTAAACAAGAAAATTGCATACGGAAAGCGCTGAATAAGTTTTTAAAAAAAATCATCAAACATATTTATTGACAAGGTAAACACTGAAAACAAAAATACATGTCTGTTCTCTTCCATCTCTTTGTATGTTCCAGCTTGTAAGGAACCTACGGAAGAATGGAATCAGCAATCATTTCTAAGTACTTCTGAAATACTGTTAATACGTCTGCACAGCATTTTCTTTTGGTTGTTCAGACTTTGTAGAAGCAACTGAGCATGAGCTGTTAGATCAGTGATGGCCTGATATGCTTGCTGTTCATATGCCTCACTGTCTCCAAACACTTGTGAGTACTGCATGAGAACCACTTTCGATTGCTGTCCCAAGTCTTGTAACATCTCTGAGTAGTTTGCATATTTGGTTATTTCTGAATCTTGCATGCTAGGCATCTGATCCATATCCCCATCTTCATCCCCACAAGCTTCATTACTGTTGCAGCCAGATTTAGATACTGTATTGCTAGTGGCCTGAGAGGTGGTTTGACTATATGGCAATTGATTTGCAGTTTTCCCTGTGTTAAAAGATGTTTTGTCTTCTTTCAGTTTATAATCTCCATCTAGTTCTTGTCCTGTTGTTCTGCTGGACAAATTTTCATGTGAGGTTGTGAAGCAAGTATTCTGATCTTGCAAAGATTCTTGGTCAAACTGAAGTATAAAGGTGGGATGATCCTGAAAATGAAAGCAGAACATACAAATAGTTTAGATGTAATTTGACTACAAGTATAATTTTTTCAAGTGAATCACATATATCTTCTCAGGTTCTGAGATATGCTTCAGTTTGATAAGCATTAACCTCGTCTAGTTCTGGGGCCCAATTATGGGGGGGGGGGAGGGGGGGGGCGTGGAAAGACTCTCTGACCCACCACACAACAAGCATTTCATAGAAGGTGACACATTTGGGGGCATTTCCTTTAAAGTCGGTGTGTATCTAACTGACAGGCGAGGAACCAACAGTCTGCATAAAAAAAAGCAAAATCTTTAAATCTGTTGTGCACGTGAACCTCAAGTTCTGAAACAAGACCCATACTGCGGGGGTAGAAGTTCGGAGGAGAGCTCCCAAGTCTAGACGTAGGCGAACAACGAGAGCTTTCCGCAAGACAGCCGGTGAACGTTAGGAAAAAAAAGATTCTCATCCTTGAGTGTTTTCCTTACGGACAGTAATTCTGGAAGGGAACAATGACCATTCAAACAACTTACAAAAGCCATAATTCTGGGTTCACGTTGACAGTCACCGATGTGGACGGTCATCGAATTTTGTCGTCTGCTGGTTATCCAAATATCAGAAGGGAGATAACTGCACAAAATTATAGGTAATAAAATCAAAGAGTTATGTTTCTTGATGGTAACAAAGGTTGTCATGGTAGCTTTTATTTACAGAAGGTGAAAGTACTCCAAGCGGGACCCGTAACGCGAGCATTAAACTATTAAATATAACCGTCTAGTTAAACACTAGGGCTTAGCCGAATTAAAAATTAGCATAAATAATACAAAATGGAATCGCTGTTTTCACGTATGGCCTGAACACGTTTTGCAAAAATAGTCTCTTTATTCTGCTGTTTGAACCTTGCCCAAAGTGAGTCAGAGTGAATTGTTTAAATTCGAAAATCATGTAATTAATTTAATTAATAACTAATTGGTTCATTTAAATTATTAATTTATTAGGTAAGAATTTAACACGGAATGGAGAGAGGGGTAACAACTTAATTCATAACCTGTTTATTAAATCACTTTTGATTACTAGCATCGCTAATGTTAACTCTAATACTAGTGTGAGTGAGTAGTGGTTTGTGTACAAATACTTAAAATAGGCTGGGAATGTTGAAGACGAAGACGTAAAAGAAGTAAGTTAAAGTAGACAAATAAGTATTAAATTAGCACTATTAGTAATATGAGATTATTAATCATTTTAATTAAAAAAAAATATTGCTAATCTGTTCTCCTTGGTGTTCTTTGTTGTTTATAGTATACTTCCTTCATGAGTATAATTTGAATAAGAGGTAACAGAAGTAAGTTCTTGGCTCTCCTTTTAACTACGGCCAAAAGACAACAGTAGACGGCCGGTTAGTCAGAGTTCTGTCCCCTGGCTGCAGCAATTACGGACTGGAGAAGGCACGAATCAGACAACAAAGTGAGGTCGACATGCCTGGCAGACCCCGCACTGAGACTCAAATTAGAGACCGCGTTCAATTACAGCTTCTTGCAACGCATTACGGAGTGGATTAGAAGGAACAAAACAAGTGACATAATTACTGTGTGTTGGCAATAGACAGCGTGCAGTGCCCTACTGTCATCATACGGTTAGGGTTTGGATTAGGGGTACGGTTAGGTTTAGGGTTAGGGTTTGGGTTGCTACTTTGAGTTTGTGCAAAGACGAGATGCGGCGAAACTAACTATAACCCTAACCCACACCCTAACCCTAAACCTAACCCAAACCCTAACCCTAAACCAAACCCTAACCCTAACCCAAACCCTAACCATATGATTATAGCAGGGCACTGCACGCTGTCTATCGCCAACACACAGTAATTTTGTCATTTGTTTCGTTTCCTCCTGTCCAGTCTGTAATTGCACTGCAGCCAGGGGACAGAACTCCGACTCACCGGCCGTCTACTGTTGTCTACCAGCCGTAGTTGAAAGGAGAGACAAGTTATTCTTTCTTCTGTTGTTGTCCTACTGCTTACATTGCAAATAATGTCTTATTGCATTACTGTAGTCTCTTTTACTCACTCCTCCCATGTGTTTCCTGGTCAGCCTCTTGCCTTGTAGCCTGCTGTTCTCATGTAGTACGCTCTGGTTGCTTTTGTTACATTCTGGCCAGATATAAAACCATTCGATTTTTTGATTTTCTATGAAATCATTGACCTGTACTGTGCCTACTATTGTTCTTAGTTCTCCATTAGTGACTCTGTCTCTTTTTGTTTTTCCCGCCACATTTCTTATATATCTAATCTCACATGTTGTAATTTTTTTGGTTCATGTTTGTCTATGACTATCCATGTCTGGTATTGATCACACGAAAGTGGCACAAATAACACATTTAACAACTGCTTTTTTAGTGTGCATGTTGATGCAATAAAAGTGGTGCTATTTAATAATTTACATTGTTGGATTGTTGGCTTTCAGTATACAGTTTTATATTTCTCTGTCCTTTCCTAACTACTAAAAAGTCATAAGTGAAGTGCATGGGCTTTCACAGCAAGAAACAAAGGGAAAGTCATTGAAGAAGATAGTGGGGCTTTTGCTTCTACCACCAGTAGGTGGGAATCTGAGCAGGGGAGGTCATGCTGTGACAAAAGCCCTAGAATGGCTGAATACTCAGGAGTTCACCAATGCATGTTTGCTCAGCGACCCAGTGAGCATGCTTCAAAAGATCAAGGTGGTAAACAAATGAAAACAGAAGCTCTATCTAAAACAGCAGGCAGCGTTTGACAAAATCACATTCATTTTGGTCTCAGGGCATGCTGATGATGATGAAAGGCAATGAGAGAGAAGATGCTCTGGCTTGCTATCAGGAATGGGCCCTTAATGGACAGGAGAGACATCATCAATGTCATATGAGAGATTAAAATCTGTGAGGCTTTCAGTTTCGTGGAAGATGATTTTTCACTGAACAGACTGCATACCATGGATGTACCAGTTGGAGCTGCGAGACAGAAAAATAATTCGAAAGCCACCCATTGTTACATCAGCCAGAACAGAATGGGAGTTGTTAGCCTAAAAACACTTGGTGACATACTCAGGAAGAGATCGGAGAACTTATGGTCATATCCAATGTGTGATGATGATCTCAGTAATGTACGATGTCCTGTCCTGCATTCTCTGTGAATACTGTCTAGACCTTAAAATCCTCAGCTTGTTTTTAATGTCCCATCTTTAACAGTGATGACATGTTCTATTTACTGTAATTATTTCTTTTACCCCAGTATCTTTTTTCATATTATGTTTCTTGCAGCTGGTGTTGAGGCCATTTATATGGTGTTGGGGGTTATCCTAACTTTGTAGACGAGGGCATGATCAGCAGCAATTATGAGCTCATTTCTTCTTCTTCTTCGCGTTCACCGGCTGTAAACTCCGGCGGAAAGTTCTTGATGTTCGTCCACTTCTGGACTGCAGTCCTGTTCCAGAACCTGAGGGTTGCGTGTGCATCCGTTTGACAGATCTGTATGCAGACTGTGGGTTCCTTGCCTCTCAGGCAGATGCACTCCGACTTCGAAGGAAGTTCCCAATTAGTCGATGCTTACGACATGCTTTTGGGTAGGCAGTGGGTCTATTCTTGTTTTTCCCATAGTAGGGCCCCGGAACCCACACGGGGGAATCTCATTTAAATCCTCCCGCTTGGGGGAGGGGGGGGGGGTCTGCTTCTTTAGCATTCTTACCCATATATATATTTATATATATTTAAAATAAACAAGAGTGGTGACACCCCGGATGAAATTCAAAACCAGTTTGTTATGCCAAAAGTTGATCTTACAGCACATTCATTTGCGTTATGCCTAGCTCTGATGTTGTCTAAAAATGAATTATCCATTTACACTAAACTATTTGAGAACTGACTATAGCTTGTCTTGGTTTACTCAGTCGAAGGCTTTTTAAGTAAGTTAAAGTAGACTAATTAATGTTGAATTAATGGTATTTGTAATGTGAGATTATTAATGATTGAGAGACTTTTTAAAAGATTACTAATCGATTTTCTTTGTTATGGCAAAAATTTAGATAACAATTACTGAAGCAATGAACTAAAGTTTGCTGCTACTGTTAACACTATATTAATAACTATGAACATTTCTGTTGTTAGTTATTACAATTATAAAAGACTTTTTTAGCACACATGATGAGCATAATTTTTAATAGACTAGTTAATATAAATATTTGTACATGTATTTCACAGGAATACCAAAATAGTAATAATGCCAGAGGAAAATGTGAAAGTGGCTGTGAGGGTTCGCCCTTTTGTATCCTTTTATCTATGTGAAATTGTAATTTATTTCTTAGTTAAATGTGGATGCTTTAGTGCAAATAAAGTGTCATTCTTCTGACATAGTTCTTGTAATACCACTTTGTACCATCTTTCCCATGCTTATTGCCGGCATCTGTGACATTGGTGTTGCAAACCTGCTTGTAATGCACAGGTGCCTGGTTCGATCCCAGCTGCAGAAGATTTGTCTTGCATTGGTTTCTAGAAAGCTGACCGTTGAGTTAGCAGTGGCAAACTACCGAACATAGAATTGCCTAGAAAAATCACAACAGCTAGAAATTACTGGGGTTGGTTCTGCTACATCTTGTAAAGGATACTCAATTAACTTAACCATGCTGATAAACACTGATATCTCTTCCCCGTATGGGTTCCAGTGCCCTGTTGTGGGGAGAAACAAAAATAGACCCACTGCCTCCCCATCAAGCATGTCGTAAGAGTTGACTAATTGACTTCCTTCGAAGTCAGAGTGCATCTGTTTGAGAGGCAAGGATCAACAGTCCCCTTATAAAAAGTCAGATCTGTAAAACTGATGTACATGCAACACTCAGGTTCCAGAACAAGTCTAAATTCCAGAGGTGGATGAACAACCAGAACTTTCTGCTGGAGTTTACAGTCTGCAAACATGAAGAAGAAGACTAATATCTCTAGTAAATATAATTGTATGCTGTCTCCACATGAAGGTTGGCTACAGGAACCCACTGTTGTCTTCGGCGCCAGTCTCTTCCATGATGTAACACTCATACTACTGTTTGAAAATTATGGGAATTTTGTTTTTAAAGCATTCCTTTGTCGTAGAAATCTAACCCTAATACCTGAGAATCATGAAATTGATTAATGCATAAACTGACTGTCTAAGCTATAGAACAGCACAATATCTTATTACAGTTCTCCTATTGATATACTCACAAATGTTATTTATCTTTTTATTATTTTGATAAATGATCAAGTGAATTATGAGACTGTGAGTAGCTCAGCATTTATGCTTTTTTGTTTTTGTTTAGTGACATTCTAATTATGCTTCTTCAAAAGCCCTAATTTTTTTTACCATTTCAGTGCTCATTCAACATTCGCACCCATACAGAAAAATAGACTGCACACCTTTAAATGTGCAGATTTAATTGAACAGACTGCAATTATTTTAACACTTGTATTTGCAGGTGATGAATTCTAACAGGGGTATGCTTTAGTTTTTGCATTCTTTATGAATTA